TTGTCTAAGATTCTTTAACCAGGACGTGCGTCTTCTCCCCGGTCCTCTTTTGCCTTCTACCTTCCCTTGTATGACCAGCAGCATCAATTCGTATTTCTCGTTTCTTGGTATGTGATCAAAGTAACTCATTTTTCTTTTCTTTATAGTGTTAAGTATTGCTTTATCTTTTTTATTCTTCGTAGTATTTTCGCATTAGTATTGCGTCCAAGATAATTTCCGACATTCTTCGATTACACCATATTTTAAAGTTAATGAGTCCTTTCTCTGTCGCCTCTGTAATTGTCCAGGCCTCAACTACATACAACAGGACAGAGAACACGTAGCATCTCAATACTCTAGTTCTAATTTCAATGTTGAGTTTTCCATTGCATAATATTGCTTTCATCTTATTAAAAGCATTTCTAGCTTTTCTTAATACGTTGTTTTATTTCCGTACTTCTATCCCATTCCTCATTTAGTGCGCAAACTAAATACTGATATCTGTGCACACTGCCTAAAATTTTTCCTTTAACATGATTTTCCTTAATCTTGTTTTTGTTTATCACCACGATTTTTGTTTTATTTGTATTCTATGCCATTCCATACCTTTCGCAGTATTGGGGAATGCGGTCAACCAACATCAGTGGTCTTTCTCAGCTGTCCGCAAGGAGTATTGTGTAATCTGCATATCTAAGATTATTCAGAAGTGTTTCGTTAATAAATAGGCCTTCATATACGTCTTCTAACGCCTCTTTAAACAATTCTTCTAAATACATATTAAAAAGTAAAGAGAAAAGCACACATCCTTGTCTTACTCCACGATTTATAGGTATTTCTTTCGATTTTTGTTGGCCTATTCGTATTATGGTTTTCGGATATCGGTACAGATTGGCAATGATTAGCACATCTTCGTAAATAAATTCTGTGTTCTGCAGTATTTTTGCCATTCTTCGGAGTTCTACTTTGTCGAAAGCTTTTCCGAAATCTACTAGATATAGAAATACGTCACAATTGAGTAAATTGTACAGTAACTAATGCTTCTTTGGTACCAAAGCCTTTTCTAAATCCTGATTGGTTTTTAGCTATTCTATCATATAGCGTTTTATAGATACGTATATCAGTTTCTTTTAGTTTTCTCAAATTGATTCTTGGTGTTTTGGCAGTTGTTTTTAACTTTTTTAACTTGAGTTTCATGTTTGCTAGAACTAGATTGTGGTCATTTGTTATAATCTGCTCCTAGATACGCTTTAGCCGATATTATGGCATTTCGGAATCTTTGATTTATTATTATGTAATCTATTTGGTTTCTTATTATAATTTTATCATCATTTCTAGGTGCTTTCCATGTATATATTCTTCGATTTGGAAGTTTATTATAGGTGTTTTTAATAATGATTTTGTTATCTTTGCAAAACTGAACTAGTCTTTCACCTCTTACATTACGTGTTCCCAGTTCGTGTTTTCCTACTACTTCTCCATCTCTTCCTTTCCTTACCTTCGAGTTGAAGTCACCTAAAATCAAATTTACTTCTTCTTTTTTAGTTTTATTGAATGTTTTGTTTAAGTCATTGTAGAAGCTGTTTACTTCTTCCTCTGTGCTACCAGATGTTGGTGCATACACTACAATGATATTTATGTTGCACGCTATAGCGTTTAATTTCAATAGTGCCATTCTATTCGTTATCGGTATGAACCCTTCGACTGATCTTTCGATTTCTTTGCTGATGACTATTGCTACTCTATTGCGGTTTTGTATGTTTATCTCCGGAATAGTGAAACACGTAGTTGTCTATGACACTTCTACATCCAAGGATATCCATCTTTAAGCATCTCATTTCTTGTGTTAGATTATGGGTTTTTTTAGTGTATTTAGTTGGATGGCTGGTCTTGTACGTGTCGACGGTATCGTTACTAATACCGCGGTAATTCTAAAACGTACAGCTCCAGGTGTGGTGGGGCCATGGTATATACATAAGGCTATCTTCTTCTTTTTATTGTAATGCCTTTATTTTTGTACTTATACTGATACTTATCTGTATTTTGCAAACTACGGCTCTCAAAAGATTTGTGGTTTTTGTGTTAACAAAACCACGTACGTAGTTTTTTCAGACAGACAATTCTTCGACTTCCTGGCTCTTGTTTTTCCTCTACTTTTCCTTTTAGAATTAATTGCAGCAACCGACATTTTTCGCTGTTCCGTCTCCTAGACGAATTGCGGCATATACCGCTCATGGGTTCCGTCTACCCTTTTTAATTTTATACAAACCCTAAAATCGGGGGTCGCCACATCCACCATACACACCGTACCGAAGATGGTCTTCTACGCCGTGGATAGCGTTATGGTCTTTGTCCGTGACCCTAGGCAAGGGACCCTAATCAGTGTCAATATGTACATAAACTATATAAATCTATTTTACTGATAATTTTTCGACTGTTCTAACAACCATTCAAATTTCGTTATTTTGTGTCATGTGGAACAATTTCACCCAATCATGTCAACATTAGACTGATAATCGCATTCAGTGCAATTTTCAATCCCTATGACAACACTATCGAGTTTGACAACTTCATCCAAATAAATTTCAAAATGTCACGTTTTGGCAATGAGAATGTTCAAAGTATAAATGCGCTAATCAAAGAAAAAATTCTAATGTTAACTTAAATTTTAATAACTGTACTTTCACTAACTGTACTTTTAATAAATAAATGTTTCGTTATGTTGAGTTATGATTTTTTTTTTTCGAAAAATTATCCGCCGAATATCCCTCGGACATTGATGAATGCCTCATAATTTCATGACAAATTTCTCAAGCTCGTTGCTTGGTAACAGCACTCAGCCTTGTGCTGTTACCAAGCAACGAGCTTTAGATTGTCATGAAATTATCTCGTCTGTTATCAATGTCCTAGATATTACTACTGAAAACAAATTAAGAATGTGATATATATTTTCAGCTAAAAAAATTGTACCATTTATGACAAAAAGGAATAACATATCTTGTAGAAAAAATATATACGAAAATAAGCAGGTTCACTATAGGCAACTCCTGGTCTGCCTTTAAGCCAACTAAGTGGACAAAGGTTTTAATAAGAGACTTAAACCTTTAATAAAGTAGGTATAATGGAAACAGAGGCAAAGCTTAATTATTAAATCCAACTGCATTAAATTCTCGTAATAATCACTGTTAAGGGGATGACGACGAGTGTGTAAATTTTCAATGTTATAGACTTATACTCGTATTTTCTGTGAAGGGTTAAATTAAAAGAGAACTAATAGAAATTGTATAATCAGTAATACAGGAAATGAGATACATGTGTTCCAAAGATATTAATTTGATTTTTGATATCATATTTTGTTTCTAGTTCATCTATCTTACATTGTTTCATTAAATAGATTTCCGTAGCTGTTTTGATTTTTCCTTAATTATTCGTTATATTTCTTAATTTCTTTATACTTCTGTTGATCTTTTCCTTTATATTTCCTTCTTCCTTCTATCTATAGTAGTATTTCTTCTGTCATCTACTGTTTTTTAGCCTATGACCTATGTTGTATCAAACTTTCTTGAGCTGGTTTCAGTATAACACTCATTCTTGTCTAACTCAGTCTCTTGTATTGGTTTGAAAACTTCTGATTAGTTTGATTTTAGTTTTTGATAGTACAATTGAAAACATTGGAAATAATTAAAGTTTTACTAAAAAAAAAAAAACAAAAAATAAGAGTAAATTATCTTAATACTTTGATATGCGTACTTTTGATTTCTTAATTTTTGTAATTTTTGGTAAAATCCGTCTCAGTTGTTTAAAGTCACCAGATAGACTTGTCATATATATCACATAGAGATGTTTGTAGAAGAGCAGAACAAACTTCAATATTTCACAAAGACTTCCATTGCCGATGATCCAGTAATGTCTCAAATTCGTTTTAACCTTTATACGGAACTTGTAACTAATATCAAGAAATCAATGAGTGTGAATTTTTAAAGCTATATAAAGAATATTCTGGACGGGCAAGTTATACCACTAGCTTCATAAATCGGTGACAACTTAGAAACTATAGTATTAATTCGTAAAAAAAATCGTTATATTTTATTTGAAACTCTTATACCTTTAATACAATATTTGTGATAAAAATTTAAATTCAGTGCTTACAATCAAACACAAATTAAGCAATTAGTTATTAAACCAATTTACAGTTGACAGAATAATGAAAAAAAATGTGTTTTTTTATTTTTAGAAGAAACACATTTTTTTGCCCATTCTATTTGTATTACCCGGCGTTTACATAGGACAGTATTACTGTAACTGGCGCAGACCAAACAGTAAATTGTCATTACAGAATTAAAAGAATATTGTGTTCTGTTAACTTATATCCAAACTATAATTTTGGGTTTGGACTATAATACTAGTTTGGACCCACTTGGTGGGGGGGGGGTGTTTCTGGTTGAAACTGTTTTTAAGGAAATTCTTAACGTCTCGGCTATTGTGAGCGTGCGCAGGGCACCAATCCATTTGAAATTTCTTCTTTATCTGGAGATACTTCTACAAGTTTCGATAAAATTTCTTCTTGCGACAAGTTCAAAAACTTTTCTGAAATAAAATTTTTGTCTTAGAAAAATGGTCGAATAATATTGTATCTAATTATTCCTACATTTATTTGTTATTTATTTTTATTTTTTTGGCGGTGTTGGGTATTGTTTTCAATATTATTATCAGGTTTTCCAGTCAACCAAATCCTATAGTAATGCTAAAATGCTAAATGAACTATTGCTGCTCACGAACTTGTTCAGTTTCCGCCATCTTAAGTCGATTTAAACTGTTATGATAATAATTGTCACAAGAGCCAATAAACGATTGTCGTGCCAGCGACTGTTGAATGAAAGTAGAGGTTTACACATAATAATCGACTCTCTCGTCTGACCAGTGATAGTAATACCCTGTGTAAACGCCGAGTCAATAAAAAATATTTTAGTTAACATCGTGTTACAATTTTAACTCTCTTTACAATCAGTATACAATAACTCATGTCAAGTAGTGTTGAACTGAAATAGAATAACAAGATATGTAGTTACAGCTCCAGCAATCTAAAAAAAAAAGAAAGATATATCAAAAGAGGTTAAAAAATTTATTTAACTTGCTAAATACTACGGATTTTAAAATTTTTTCACAAATTGAATGATTACTGTAATTTAAACAGGCCATACATTATAGTGGTACGGAAATTTTGAAAAGCATAGTAGCTAATTTGAATCTGCACATTACCGTCTATCGGAATTACATAAAAGGAATCAAAATGAAACATAATTTTATGTGCTATGTGGTGAAATTATAATTGTAAACCATTTTATACTGGAAGAAATATAAGTAAACAGCAAGTAATAAGGGGTGAGGTGTCTCACAATTTTCTTTACCTACTACATCTCAGGAACTACTATCCTAAAATTTTAATGTATAATTGCTAAGTAGTTAAAACAAATAATACTTAAATTTTAAAAGAAAATTGGAATTAGTTATAAAGATCAACATTGTTCTGAAGCTATTTTCTTGTAGCATTTTATAGTAATTACTATTTTAATCGGAATAAGCCACAATTAAAGTTTAACATAAGTTTGTTGACGTTTCAATTTCCACTTCGAAAATCGTTCTCAAAATACAAATATTATTACAAATGGTGGCTTATTGCCATTAAAATAATAATTACTATAAAGATCATCACCACAGACGATCATGTCTCCGGAGGCGTGTCAGGCAGAAGCTGACAGCCGTGCTGGACGCATTTAGAAATTCGGAGAAATACTTGGAAATTCCAAGTTTGGGCAAATCCGAATTTCTAATTGACTCGATGCAGGGAAATTCCACTTTTGCTACGTAAAACAAAGGATTTGTTTTATATAAAAGCAGACGGAATTTCTCTCATCGGTCAGTCGAGCTTGCCTCTTCTTCTGTAGACCTAGTCGGTGCTATTATTGTTCCGACTAAGCTATTGTTTTATTTCTTATTTCCTGATAACCATTTATATTTTATTATTGTATATTCAGACCTTTTCAGGTTAGAATATTACTTTGACTTATATTTGTTCATATACTGATTATTTGATATTTTATTTGATTATTTTGATTGTTTATTTTTCTTGTATTTTGTATCTAAGTTGTTCTTCCGTAAGTTAAAAACACTTAGAAATATTTACCTTACTTTTTTCTATTTTATAAATTTGATTTTGTACTTTGTGTCTAAGTAGTTCTTTCCGATAAGTCAAAGAACTCTTTGAAATATTTCTCTGATATTTGACTTGTTAATTTTATTGTGTGCCTAAGTCATTCTTTTCCTAAGTCAAAAGAACACTTAGAAATATTTTCATAATCATTATTGCATTATTATTTCCGATATTTATCTAAGATATTTTCTTAATATATTTGTCTCTTTTATTTTACCATTTCATGCTGAGTTGTTTCTTCCGTAAGTCAAGAAACACTTAGCAATATTTCCATATCTTTACTGTATTTGATTTTCTTATTTTCTATTATAAGTTGTTTCTTCCGTAAGTCAAGAAACACTTACAAATATTTGTATTCTTATTTTACTATATTTGATTCTCTTGTTTGTTTTCTGTTCTAAGAAACACTTAGAAATATTTCCATACATTGTTTCATATTTACATATTCCATTTATCTATATTTCTGTCTTAAGTTGTTTCTTCCGTAAGTCAAGAAACACTTAGGAATATTTCTGCACTTTTCTGTTCTTTTATTCTTGTGTATTTTACTTTTCATTCTAAGTTGTCTCTTCCGTAAGTCAAGAAACAATTAGAAACATTTTCTATGCATTGTATTTTTATATACCATTTTATTTCCTTGTTTACAAGTTATTTCTTTCGTAAGTCAAAGAATACTTAGATTATGTTACCTGTTCTGTTTTCTATTTTGATCTGCTATTTTGTAACTGTTCCTTGGAACTGTTACCTATAACAGATACTTGTCACGGTAACTGTTTTTTTATACCAGTAGCAGTATTACCACGTTTTACCAGCGACAAGCAAAGATGGTCAACACCCGATCAAATTCCGGGGACAGGAAGAAGTCCGAAGAGCCGGCGATGGGTCCTACAGGCCCAAATGCCCCTCTCGGCAACAATCATAAACGTTGTGATCATCTGTGTCATCAAGTAAATGTTTAAAATGTTTCCCCACTTTTAGAGCTATAGGCTGTAAAATAATTGTGAGACATCATGTCGATTAATATTACACAGTCTTGGTAATGCTATGAAAGTAATAAAAAACAAAAGCTGATAAAATTAGCAAACATTATTATTGACAACTTACCGATGTCAATAAAGCTCTGCTAATTTTAAAAAATCCACATGAAGAAAATCTTAGTTTCCATCTATTAAACTGAAGTGAAAACATTGTCATCTAAAAAAATAAAAAAATGCATATAATTTATAGCCGCTAAAAATACGCTAAATGTTAAAATTTAACTTAAAAGGGGGGCGTGAAAGAAGCTCCCACGAATATGTAAATAGATGCCTTACAGAGGCAATATAGGTAAAATAAAATCTTAACTATCTTTCTTTTATTTCGATATACTCTTTATGAGTACTAGAAACCAATTCGCCAAAGATTTTTGCTTAGATGAGGAGATATGTTGTGGAATGCAACTTTTAGATTCTCCATATCTCCCTTAATATCTTTTAGCATCGTCTGTTTTGCCTTGTTATTCTTAGAAGGCACAGATTAAAGTAAAAATCTTAATTTTGTTTTCGTCAATAGAGATCTTCAGATTTCTACTTTCGCGATTTATTGTCAGATGTCGCTATGGAGTCCATACTGAAGCCATTTTATTGGTGCTTTTTTTTGACGAAAAAGATTTGTTTTTACGTTCAGAGCTTCTCTAACACTCGCTCTGATGAGTCCTGTTAGGATGAAATACGTATAAGCGAATATAAAGAGGCACAATACGTCAAATAAAATGTTAACTCTTTCTTCGAACCAATTTCTTGTCCCAATTCGAACTCACACAGGATTGCTTTCTTTACACAGGATTACTTCAAGGTATAGTAGAACAAATAAAAAATGTACAAAGCTAAATACGTTATTACTAAATACTTACACCTTTTTTGATAGTGTCGTCCACTTCGTAAGTTAACATATCAGATATAACACTTGAGGTTTTATGATGCTAAAACAAAATAAGCCTAGTTATTCGAATATAGTGTACTATAGTAATAATATTAGCTCTTTCAACATAAAGCTACTTAATGAGGAGATTCTAAATAAAGTCAGTTAACTCTCTCAAAAATGGTGCTGTTCTAGGTAAGTAAAGCAGATCCATTGTATCTTTTGAAGGTACATTTTTATTTTCTATTTCTGCCTTATATATATATATATATATATATATATATATATATATATATAAATATACATATATATATATATATATATATATATATATATATATAGAAAAGAAAAGAAATTTAATCTTTGCAGATAAGTTAAATAGTAAACTCTTAAATATTGGGGAAATCTGCAAGAAAAACTCTAAAGTGTATCAATTGTTTCGCCGAACGTTTTCGCCAAAGAGAATTAATTTGGCTTCTTCAGGGCTGAAAGAGAATAAATTATAATTAGCTACCATATTATCTAATAAAAAATATGTACCTTACCGTAAATTTTAGAAATGTCGAGTTAGGATGTTAAAAAACTTAGCTATTAACAACATAGTGGTGTTTTTGTTGTTACTATGTGCAAAAAAGTTTTTTTGTTAACGTTGGAAATGTATGGTAGCTTTGAACTTAAAACGCAAAGGTTTACCCAAGGTTACTCGAAAAACCCAATGTAACTACATTTAAAGGAAGTAATTCTTTGAATTGTCGGCAATAACTAAATTTTGATTGTTATTAAGTTTGAATGTGAGGTTCTGTTTTTATAGAACGCAAGCCCTGACAATTATTACAAGTAGGACATTTGAATATTTATGTCGTTAAGGTTCATTGGTAAAACCGGTGAAGTTAGATCCCAGTCTGAGGAGATATTAGTTTAGAATTTTCTTAATTGAAATTATTTTTTAATTAGTATATTGTTCATGTATTATTATAATAATATCTTAATGAGATGTATCTAAGAAAAGCAAGAGAATGTTATCTTTTTTAGTTAATGAAAATTATTATTAAAGTAGGTTAGTTGTTAATAGATATATCAGTCAAGTTAGTTTAGAACATACAAAAACATATTTTGCATATTTTTTGCAATTAGTAATCTTTTAAACACTTTTTTATAAATTTTGTTTATCTAATATTTTTGCTAATGTGTTCTGGATATTTTTTATTAATTGATCTATAGTTATATTTCTAGATTTAAAAATGTTTTGAATATTCTATCTATTGTTTGATCCAAGAAAAAAAAATCTTACCTCATTTATACAACTTTGACATGGTTCAACAATAATTAAAACTCTGCCTATATGTCCTATAAACCAAATACTCTGCAAACATATATAGTAAATATCTGTATCATCAGATATTATTTTGGCAAGCAGAAAATATGGTGTGACGATTAAATGAAGCAAACAACTCAACATAATCAGCTGAAAATAAAAATTGGTTTCATATAGCTCCTTATATTCATATTGATATACAGCGATACAATTCAGATTGAAAGCCATATCAAGGACTCAGTAATAGCTTACAAATATCTAGAGCATGAGATTCGCTTAGGCCAAGATAATCAGAGAACTTAAATACATATAAATAGGTCTCACATGGGCTATCTTTTGTAGAAAACCTCATCGATTGTGTAGAATAAAATATTTTTTATTCTTCTGATTATTCAACAAAAAATTTTTGATCTTAGTATGTTGATTTTCTTTCCAAAGACGATCCCTAATAGTTCCTTATCAGCCTCGTTCTCGTAGACGGGCGTAAGGACCATGAAGCCATTATGATATTGGAAACGATCAAATTTAAGTCTGCTCTCTCCTACAGATCCTCCATATTCTTTGGTATTATTTTCCCCTTACTCCTTAGAATAGTTTATCCATGGTGTCCCTATAAACAATGTTTTATGGGGCTTTGAATATAATTTTGAAATTTGACACAAGCTTCATCCACTGCTCGTTCTAGTTGGGGAATGAGCAAGACTGCTTGAGTCTGATCTAGCTGAGTACCAGGATAGGGTCTGTGTGATACAGCTATTGCGAATACTTTTGTGACATTGTTATATGACCCAGTCTGCTGTTTAGAGTTGCTTGGTTTATTAGCAACTCTTTGTTTAGGGGGTAATAATATTCTATCAAAGTCTCTTTTTGCCTATATGGTGATCCAGTTGTATTGCTTTCTAATAAAGGTAGACTTAATACAAATTTGAGTTTTTCCAGCCCTTAAAATTTACAATGTACTATATTAATGTTAGAAATTATACTTACAGGTATACAAAATTCCATTGAGTTGTTAACTACTGCCACTGCTTCAAATATTTTATCGTGGTAAATAGAAAAAAATAACAGTTTTCGTGCTAAAAATAGTACACATAAGAAATTTTTTTAATAAAATTGTTTTATTATTTTATTATTACAGTGCAAATACAACTGGTTTAATATATTAATTAAACCAAAACCAGAGCTAAATCTGAATTAACTTGCATGATATATACGTGGATATAATTTAGATTCAACGGGTAAAGTATGGGCAAGCGTGATAATTTAACCTCTATGGAGTTCGATTGCTATCTAGAGCCCATATATAGACATCGTCTTAGCGTCAGCAACCCCCAAATTTCGAATCTTACTTTACCGTGCAGTATATCTGTTAAAAATTTTTCACACCAACTTATTAACAAACATGTAATAAATAACGGAAAACTCGGAAGGAAAAAGGACGAATAAGAAGTGGCAATCGGAGATTTTGGAATCGGAGTAAGAAACGAAAGAGGCGAAATGCTTACCAACTTTCTACTTCAATACAAACTGTATGCAATGAACACATTTTTTAAGAAGAAACAGAATAGAAAATGGACGTGGGCTAGTCCAGACGGAAGAACTAAGAGCGAATATTCAAGATGTCACTGTACTCAATAAACTATCAGTAGGAAGTGACCAGTCAGAGCTAGAGTAACGATAAACCTACAAAAAGAAACAGCAAAGATGATAAATAGTTGCAAATGCATAGTTTGGATTTCACCAAATCAGCCAGAAGCATACATAAAAATATAGCCGAAACTTTACAGATAATCCCAAACCTCTAGTATCGACGATCACAATACATTAATAACAGACTCGGTTAGAAACGCACAACTCAAATTTTGCAAGCAAAATGACCCCAAAAGTAAAAAGATTAGCAAAAATACAAAAGCTCTCATAGAAATACGACGAAACTTAAGCGAAAACAAAAAGAGAAACAAAGAAGAATAGAGAAACTTAATAAAAGAATTTCAGCGGAAATTAGAAAAGATGTAAGAAGATATAATATTAATGTAATTACTCAAATAGTAGAAGAGAACAAATGTTTAAAGATATTGAAAAGAAAACTCACACAAAGCAAAAAAGAAATATACAATCTGAGAGATAAAAACGAAAAGGCAACACCAGATAAACAAAACATTCTGAAAACAACCAGAGAGTTGTATAAAAACCTCTATACTACACGACACGAGTAAAGACTCTCATAAATCAGGGATCGGAAATACTTTTACCCATTACTGTGTCAACAGTAAGAGCAGCTTTAAAGGAAATGACGAACCATCGATCGCCTGGTGATCAGCGAAAAGACTGGAACAATGCAGTGATAGTCTTGTTGTACAAAAAGGCGATATTACTAAATTAGAAAATCATAGACCCATTAGCCTCTTGACACATATGTACAAACTCGTTTTGAAAATCTTAACAAAGAGACTAACACCTAAACGTGATTTCTATCAGCCCAAAGAACAGGCAGGCTTCAGGGCAGGATATGACACAAATGACCATTTGCATACCATAATGATCTTATTAGAAAAGTGCATCGAGTACAACATACCACAGGTTTTTGCATTAAAAGTACACGACACTAATCAAAAACATCTACGAGAACGCTACATCAAGTATACGACTTCACGAAGACACAGAAAAATTCAGCTTAAGTCGAGGAGTTAGACAAGGAGACAATATTTTATCAAAATTTTTCACGGCAGCTCTAGAGTCAATATTTAAGAACACTCAATGGCGAGATATGGGCATCGATATAGACGGAGAAAGATTAAATTATCTAAGGTTTGCAGATGATGTTGTATTAATTGAAGATAACTTACAGTTTCTACGGTTCATTCGTTTAAAAGTCTATCTGAAAGAGCAGGATTAAAGATAAACTTTGAGAAAACTAAACTTATGACATGTCTCGTAATGAGTAGAAATATAACTATTGACAATAATATCATACAACAAACAGACACTTACAAATATCTGGAACACGAGATCAAAATAAGCAGAGACAATCAAACTCATATTGCGAAATACAGAAGCGAATAGGCCTGACATATGCAGCATTTGGTAAATTAAGCCATATTCTAAAAAGTTTAATTCCGATGTATCTCAAGCGAAAGGTTTATAACCAATGTGTTTTGCCTGTACAAACTTATGGAGCAGAGAATTTAACACTCACGCAAAAATCTGCGAATAAACTCAGAGTTACACAACGAGCCATGGAACGTGCAATGCTGAACGTGCTAGAACACAAGATGGACGGTGGATAAAACGTATTATAGAATAGAGACCCAGAAACTATAAAGGAAGACGAGGACGACCACTGACTAGTTGGACCGATGATATAAAACGTGTAGCGGGAAACTGGCTACAAGTGGCCCAGTGTAGAGAACACTGAAAAAGACAGAGGGAAGCCTATATTCAGCAGTGGAAACGATTGGCTGATTGAAGATGATGATGAATAAATAACAAATTTTGTACATCTTTAAAGGTTTTTACCCACATATTTAATAGCTTGACTCATGAACACCTGGTAAATGCACTGAAGATGGACTTGATTAGTCCGAAGGCGATCTGTTGTGAAATTGTTCGAAAGTCTTTTGAAGTTTTTTTCTTATATACCTTTTATGAAGGATTTTTAAACAAAACTTTTGTAAATATGTATATCTAAGGGTAATAACGTTTACCAAAAAGTAAATGTGTAATCTTACCTAACTCTGTAGAATCAT